GTCCCGCAGCCTCCTGGGGGCCGGGGGCCACTGCCGGCCCTGCCCGGGGCTGGTGGGGTCAGGCAGCGCCCGGCGCTGAGCCCCGGCTGCCCCACAGCCCCGGCCCGGCCCCGCAGCTCCCCACAGGCCCCAGCCCGTGCTCCCGGTGCCGCACCTCTGCGCCCGGTGCTGCCGCTGCCACCGCAGAGAAACCCCTGGCATCCTGACCTCCTGCTTTTCCTCTCCTGGAAACCTGGCCTAGAAAGGGCTTGGATCACTTAGCAAATTTTGAGGATAAGATGGTGCTGAAAAACTTCCCAATCCTCACAATTAATTATTTTCCTTCTCTTTTCCATCTTTTTTTTTTTTTTTCTCACATAAATTCCTCCTCCTGCTTCTTGCCTTAACACTCCCCTTCACCCAATCCCTTCCCAGCTCACCAACACCATCCATCCCCTGTTTTCCAAAGCCCTTCTAGACTTCCCTTATTGCCCCCCCTGGGTGTCCATGTCCTTAATTACCTCTAGGAGGATGTGTAAACTACCTCAATATTATCCCTTTTTTTATCACATATGATAATAATGGTTTTGTTAAGTCTTGGTTCTTTTCCTCAAAAGTCAGGAATTTAGCAGGACTGTGGCTGAGCAGCAGTCTATGTCAAATAATAACATTTTCTGAAACTGATGGTTTCTCCTGTCACTTCCTTGTCTACAAGTCCCTTGCCCTATCTCAAAGGAGACTCCCACCATATTTTTGTACAGACGTTTCTTCTCATTCTTTTCAACACAATGGAAAAGTGGGGGAAGAAGCCATAAAAGGGCATTTAGGACACCAGAACTGTTTGAGAGATGGGAGGGTCAGCCCTAAACTGAGCCAGAGGGATTTAGAGGGGATGATGAAAAAGGGATGGGAGAGGTGGATAACAGGAGGAGGGACAGAAGGAAAGACATTCTCGTTCTCGTGGTGTGGTCCCTTTGTTTCCCCATCACTTGATCCCTGGAGCAATTCCCCAGTGCTGTGAGAGGGGCTGGATCTGCACTGGAGGGTTCCCCAAACCCCTTGTCCATTCTTGGGGTGCTCCTTGGGGTGGTTCCTCCCACCCAGGAGCTGGTGATGCCCCTCTGTGGGGCAGAGGGGGGTGGGAGAGGAGGATCTGGGGTGGTCATGGAGGAGGACAGGAAGGAGAGAGGAGAAGGAGGAACAGAAAGAGGAGCAGAAGGAGAAGCACAAATTTCCATCCTGCTGGTGTAGCAGGGAGTCTTCCAGAGGGGTGCTTCTAGGGGAATTGTTTGGAGTTTGCAGATTCCAGAAATGAGACCCAAATATCTTTGTGGTCCCTGGAAGGCCTTGGGGTTTTAATGGGAAAAGTCTGGGTCTCGCTGCATCACAGTTTCCACTTCAGGATGATATTTGGAGATCCACAAGATGATCACCAGGTACTGGTGGGAGGAGCACATCAGTCTTGGGGCACTCCAGGAGAGTGGTGGAGGGGAACTGCAAGACCCCTGAAGTGGTGAGTGGAGAGAGGCAATTCCAGAGCTGTTGGACCCTGGGCATCCTGAAGGGTGGGAGAAGAAGAGCCTTGAGTTGGGGGACCCCTGGGAGCCATGGAATCCTGTAATAGGGAGTATGGGGAGAAGGGATCATTGGGACCCTCAAATACCCTGGGTGATCTGTAAGACCCAAGAATAGAGGAGCCACTGGAGTCCCATCAGCCAAGGGAGGGGAAATTCCCACAACCCGCAGTGGAGAAAGGAAGTGGATCTCTTGTGAGGATTTCTTTTGGGGCTGAACCTTCATGTTTTGGAGATTTTTATGGACACAAAATATCCAGTCACTTCCTGAGAGGAACTTGGGCAGGAGAAACCCCAGCCTAAGTTGCTCACCTATTGTTTCTCCCTGCCAAACCAGGATTTGTCATTCCTAAGCCTTGGGCCAATGGAGAAGAACGAAAAGCCTCAGAGATGCCACAAGAGGAGGGGCTGCAAACCCAGCCCAGGGAGCTGCAAGAAGGAAAGACCCCTTCTGTGCCAGGAAGGTGGCCTGAGGTCCAGCCAGAGCTCGGAGCTGGTGGAGAAGCCTCACAAGTGCTTGGAATGTGGGAAGGGCTTCAGCCAGAGCTCCCACCTCGTCCGGCACCAGAGGATCCACACTGGGGAACAGGTGGACCAACCCTACAAATGTGGGGAATGTGGGAAGAGCTTCAGAGACAGCTCCAACCTGATCCGGCACCTGAGGATTCACACTGGGGAACGGCCCTATGAGTGTTTTGAGTGTAAGAAGAGCTTCAGACAGAGCTGCAGCCTGGTGGAACACCGGAGAATTCACACTGGGGAAAAGCCCTACGAGTGCTTGGAGTGTGGGAAGAGCTTCGGGTGGAACTCTGACCTGATCCGGCACCAGAGGACCCACACTGGTGAGAGGCCCTATGGGTGTCCTGAGTGTGGGAAGAGGTTTCGGAGCAACTCACATCTCCTCCTGCATCAGCGGACTCACACAGACGAGAAGCCCTTCCGCTGCCCCGACTGCGGGAAGGGCTTCAACCGTAACTCACACCTGACCCTGCACCGGCGCATCCACACTGGGGAGAGGCCCTATAAGTGTCTTGAGTGTGGGAAGAGCTTCTCATCCAGCTCTGGCTTGACCCAGCACCAACGGAGGCACCAGTAAGGTGAATGGTTAAAATCAAAAATCAACAACAAAATCTCTCTTACTAGCCAAAGTTCAAAAGTGGTGTGTTTATTACACTGGTAAATACTGTGGGGATCGTCCCTGAAATGCATGACCACACTGCACAAGGTTCTTTGCCTTCTATTTATTTCCCAAAATATTACATATGCACAACCCCAGCACCTCCCATCTTCACTCTGTATTAAAATGAGGCTATTAGTCTTTCACACGTATGCAATTCTTCTCTTGATTTGGGTCAGTGGTCTCAAATTGGGTCAGTGATCCCAGGAATGAAGTCAGGAAAGTCTTCGTCAGGGCTCTGTGACTCTCTGGCACAATCCAAGGCCCCCTACTTCACAATGGATTGACATAGAGTCTTGGTGCTGGGCATTGTTCTTCTGGTTTCAATATGTTCCTGTAATGGTTCACTTGCTCCACTTCTTTCTATAAATGGTCTCATAATATAACAATTTGCTTTAGCTTAGGCATCTAATAATCATTAACCTATCGTTGTGTATCTAACTTCAATATGAATTTATTCTAACCCTCAGCTGTTGGGGAATGGCTGCAGAAGCAGGGCCATGGGTCGATGGAACAGCTGTTCCAGCAATCCCCTGTTTAAGGCCTGGGAACAGCATTGTGTCTGGCCTGGGAGCAGTACACTGTGCATGGCCTGGGAACAGCACACATCGGCATGTACAGATAACAAGGACAGCCTATCCTTGAGATATGAGTTATACAAGAACAGGATGTGAAACAAGATGTACCCAGCGAAATGAGATGAGGAACTTGGCTGCCAAGTAGGAGAAATATGTAACTATGACCTTTATGAAATAACCAATGAGAGCTTGTTGCTGAAGAGATGCCTGTAGAAAACCCTATATAAGCTGACAGAATCTTTGAATAAATCAAAGCTTGCTTATCAATCATATTGATTGTGTGCTTGTCTTCCCTCACCACCCTCATCACTCAGCTAAAATCTTAACCCTTTAGAATCATCATTCAGCAGGAAGCCCTGTGAGTGGCCCAAGTGCAAAAAGAGCTCCATGCACTGCTTCAACTCCACCCCCTGTGGAGACTCAGCAGCCTGCCAATGGGGCTGTAATGCTTCAACTCTGGTGGGACAGAAACAAGCAGGGAGAAGCACCCCTCTTAGGTTAGGGTTAGAGGAGCCCTCCCTCCCATAGGCCTCTGCAGGCACAGGTAATGTATTAAATTTCATTGGTTTACTCAGTTGACATTACCCCTGTTCAGCCCCTTTTTACCATATTTGTAGATATGGTACAATAAAAATATTGTATCTCCCTAGAATGTTCTTCCCTCCTTTGTTGCTGTCGAGGCAGGACGGGGATGAAGACACTCTGACCAGAAGCCTGCTGAGAGTAAAACTTCGGTTTATTCAAAATACACTGCTCTTTAATACAGAAATTTGTGAGGACCAACTCTATTGGTCCTGAAGTGAAAGCAACCTACACCATTGATGCAAAGTACTTGACGCACAGTGGTAGAACTTAATTATAAACAATGTGAAAAACAAGAGAGATAAGGAATTATTTACATTATTTTCCAACTCTTTCCCAGGTTTCTGCCTGGCTAGAAACTCCTGTTTCTCTCTTGGACTGAATCTGAGACCCACACTCTTCTGGTCCTCACTGTCCCCAGTTTGCTGCTGTGTTCTGCTCCTGTTATACCATTGGTTCCCCTAGTTTGCTGTCCTTCCTCTGCAGCACTTTTCCCTGTTTGCATTGGTCCTTGACCTTCAGATCCACCCATTTTTCCGTATTTAACCCTGTGTCCTTGATCCTGCTGGGTCTTTGTCCCTGAATCTTCTTCATAACAATAAAGGGCTTTTGGATCTCCAAGAAAAGACTTGTCCCTCACCTCTTCACCAGCTCCTTTAGCAAGCGTGCTCCAGGCCTTGAAAGTGCAGGTCACTAACTGGGACTCGTTCAGGCACGCTGCTTCAGTCTCCCATTGGAGGATCTGCATTGGATGATCCCAGATGACCTCCGTTGGGAAGATCTCTGGTGAGCCCCGTTTTGTGCGATCTCCGTTGGCAGGGGGAAGGTGTTGGACAAGATTTCTTTCCCTTCTCGTCATTTTGCTGTGATTTGGTTGGTAATAAATTCACACCCTGTATCCAGGCTGGGTCTGTTTTGCCCATGCTGGTGGTTGGGGCAGGATCTCTCCCAGTTTTCTCTGCACTCCTGGGCTTTTCCTTGTATTTCTTTTCCCTGTGCAGTTGCAGAGGGCAGGGACAGGGCAGTTTTGATGGCTCCCAGCATTCTGGTAGGACCAGACCAGCCCAGCCCCAAGGTTCTGAGTGGCTTCTGGGACAGAAGCAGACAGATGTCTGCTAAGGAAGGCAGAAGCCCCCCCTGAAATGGAAAACTAAGCCCCCTCCCTCCGAATTGTTATAAATTTGAAATTAAGGGGGGTTCTCAGGCAAAGATATGGGAATACGAATAACAGTTCTTTATTAGGGAAGAAAATAAAAAAAATAGAATAAACAATGCAGTAATACAAAACAACACTGACAGAGTCAGAATATGACCTGACACCCTGTTGGTCAGGGTGTTGGTAACAGTCCAATTGAAATGGTGGCTGCAGTCCTCCTGGAGTGGCAATTGTGGTTCTGTTGGAGCAGTGATCCTGTAGAAGGGTGTAGTCTTCCTCTGAAGATCCAGTGGAAAAGGCAGCTGTTCCACTGGGAATCCAGCGTAAAGGCTGTTCTGGTGTCCCAAAAGCTCAGATTATATCCAGTTAGTAATGCTTGGCTCCTCTCTCTAGGCGGATCATCTCACAATGGGATGCTGTAATTTTTATCAGTCATACAGTGATATTCAATAGCCCATTAACAGCAGATACCTCCCTTGGAGGGAGGATTGGTTTGTGGAAGAGATAAAGAAAACTGCCCAATTAACAGAAAATAACTGCCCGGCCTCTAACAGATGGCAAATAGAATACACATTGCCTTGCAGTCTAGGACAGTGGGGCATCCCTGCTGGAGGAGGGTGTCCCCCCCTTGGTGCAGCCCCAGTCCTTGGGCAGTATTCAGCCAAGCAGAGAACGTTCTCAGCTGGAGCCTCATTTCTGGGCACACTTGAGCCCCTGGACATCTCAATACCCATCTTGGAGTTCACCTGAGTTTCTGGATACCTGGAATCCCATTTTTAGAGCTGTGTTTGCACAGACTGTTTTTTGTAGCAGGGGTGCTCCAGGGGTGGGTTCGGAGCGAAGCTACTGGAAGCTTCTGAAACGCAGATAAAAAAATCAAACCCCACAATTCCAATAAAGATTTATAGGGAGTGATATGTCTATTCACAGTGCTGGATGCATGTTGGCACTCCATGCCCTTCAATAGACATGCACACCTCTGAGAATGCCCAATCCTTTTTTATTACCCTTACTAATTTCCATATGCATAGAATTTCACAATAGGTTGATGCATATTAATTCTGCTGATATTGCATTACACTTACAGCTAGTTACACTTGTACTCAGTTTTTGTCAGAAAGTACAGAAAGAACTCCTGGGACACTCTGCCCTGTCTGTTTCAAGGTCCGAGGAGTCTTTCTTATGTCTTATCTTTTAGTGTGGAAATTTGCATTCTTTCTCCTTAGCTGGAGTAGTTTTGCTAGTGCTGCAGTTACCAGACTAAACAGCATATTTAGCAAGCTTCAAGTGGCACATTTCACCTAAATCCAAATGTATTTCTACCCTGTTAAATTTTAACTGTCTCATTCCCTCCACAGCCAGAGAGAAGAGATAAAATTTAACCAGGGGTTCAGGAGTTGAGATAAGGACCAGGAGAGATCCCTCATCAAAAACTGGTGCTTGTTGAGGTGCACGGGAGAAATTGCCCCAGCCCTTGCAGTGTGCTGCTCCCAGATGTTGAGATTTGGACACCCCGGAATGGCCTGGCCTGGCAGGAGGCTGAGGAACTGCTACTGCCCTGAACTGCCAGCTCGGGGTCACCTGGAGCTGGAGGTGCTGGGAGCTGCAGCTGAGGCTGTAATGGAGCAGGGACCCACCTGCAGCCCCAGCAGGAGCCCAGGCTAGAGCAGGGGATGCCTGAGAAAGGCCTCGAGCTTGCGGGAAGCCCCTGCAGAGCCATGGAAGTGGCTCCTGGCAGGACCTGTGAGCGTGTGAGGGATCCCCATGGGAGCAGCCTGCTCCTGAGGGACAGTGTCCCGTGGGAGGGACCCCAGGCTGGAGCCGGACAAGGATTCCTGCCCCTGAGGGGTTCTGTGCCATGAGCTGACTGTGACCCCCATCCCCTGTGCCTCTGGGTGGGAGAAGGGCAGGAATCTGGGAGAAAGCAAAGCCCAAGAAGCAGACAGAGGTGAGGGAAAGGTGTTTTTGGTAGGATTTGCTTTACTTTTCATTATCCTGCTGTGATTTGTTGGACAATTGTCCTCATTCAAAAGACAGGTGTCTGCCAAGGAAGGCTGCAACCTTCCTGGAATGGAAAAGATGAACCCCTCCATCCAAAATACTTTATCTTTGAAATTACGGGGCTTTCAGGCACAGCTATGGGAAAAGAAATAATACTTTGCTAGAATATATATATATATATATATATATAATAAATAACAACACGGATAAACAAGACCAGCAACAGCACCACAGACCAACAAATCCTAATCCCAGCCCTTTCCCCCCATCGAGCCCAGATTTCCCCTTTCATGCAGTTACATTCGTGACCAGACAGGGACACCGCTCTTTTGGGGACACCCGAGACAGCGACCTGTACGGCACCGACCCGCCCCGGCAGCGGGCGGGGAGCAGCGAAGGCAGGCGGATCCCATCGGATCCCATCGGGCAGCGTGGGCCCTCCGTACCCCCCAACAGCCGCAGGGATGGCGACAAGAGGGCAGACCTGGGCAGCAAGGCGGCAGCGTAGCCCCGTCCCGGGAAACGGGAGCCCGCTCTCCACACCACGCGTGACCCTTCACTCTCTCTGCAATCCCCGGCCACACCAAAAGCATCGGAGATCAACTCCATCCCACAGAATCTCGGAATCCACTGCAATACCTCCTGAGGTATTTCTGCAATTCCTAAGAAAAATTTCCCCTAGAGAGGAAAATCACTCCCCAGCCAAGACTTCCAAACTCTCCATTCCCTGGCTGAGCCATTCCCGTGGTACATGAGATTGCACGGTCATTTCATTTGTTTGCCCCTATTTGCCTCCCCTCTCTCCCCCTCACCGTTTTTTCTTTCAGGTAGAAGATGACATAAAAAATTGTCTCACCATAAAAACCCAAACATACAACCAACAACAACAACAACACCTTATCCCCAACAATAATAAATTCATCTAACTTCCCCAAGTCACTTGTGCCCATGAGTGACCTCTCCCTGTCCTTACCCGGACCCTGGAGCCTCTCCTTGTGTTCTGTTCCCTGCCCAGCCTCAGTGACAGAGCGATTTTGGTGGCACCAGGCACCCGGCCAGACCCAGCCAATCCCAACAATCCCTGCATTAATTCACTCTACCATTAACCAGCCCCACGGCAGGTCTGGCTACAAGGGGAGGCAGCGAAAGGAATACAAACTGGGAAAAATGGGACACAGTGAGAGGAGAGATGTGCGATTGGGCGAATTCTCCCTCCCCGAACTGCCAGGGGGAGAAGGAGGGAGAATCTGGTGCAAAGTAAAGGGGAGAGGAGAAAGCATAGGGCTGGAGCTGTGGAAGGCAGATGGAGATGGGCATGGGCAGCCGGTGTTTTCCTTTCCAGCTCTGTGGAGTGAAAGGGAGCGGTGTAAAATCCGTCAAGAAACAAAGAGGAGAGAGAGCAGGTGGTGGAAACCGCTGACAATTTGGATTCAATTTACCTGTCTGAAGTACAAACGCCAGCAGTCTCCGAGCAGTGACAGACGCCCACCTGTGATGTGTGTGCTCTGCTGCTCCTCTGGCTGCAGCCCGTCA